TAGCATACAAAGTCTGAGGTGGTACGGCTCCCATCTACCTGAATCCTCTTGTTAAGGCTTACGTCTCGGCCCGGCCGCTCCGGTCATCACAGGATCGTCGGCTAGCAGTGCCTACACCACGCTCAGGACAATCCAGACTCTTCTCATGCATCATTCCACAAATGTGGAATGACCTTCCTAACACTTCCAGAACAGGAGCTTCCTTTTCTATTTTGAAAAAACTCCTGAAGACCCTGCTCTTCAGAGAGCATCTTCTTAACTAGCACCCTCCCTGCACCCGTCCCCCCTCTCTACCGTCCTCTCCTTGTTCCCTCCTCTCCATGATTGATGTCAAGTTGTTGTTGTTATTGTTGTTGTTAGACTCAAGGGCAACATGCCGATTATCACTTGTAAGTCGCTTTGGACAAGAGCGTCTGCTAAATACATAAACATAAACATCCAATGAGTTAAAAATAGGAAAACAAAAGATTTATGTGAAAGCAGCTTTAAATAAAAGGTCTTTAGCTGTTTTTTAAAAGTGTCCAGACTGTCAACGCTGCGTAAGGATAAAGGAAGATCATTACAAAGTCAGGGTGCAACAGTCTGGAAGAAGCGATCACCTTGACTTTAATATCTGGTATTTGGAACTTCTAGAAGGTTCTGGTGGGTGGGCCTGAGGGGTCAAGTTGGGGCATGAGGCTTTAACAGGTCAGTAATATAGGGAGGAGCGTGACCGTGTAGAGCCCTGAAAGTTCTAGTCAGGACTCTAAATGAACCGTAAAGGTGGATGTGGAACATGAACACTCTGGCGACATCTAGTGTTAGGAGGTGGTAGCTGCAACAACAGAAAGCACTTTCCAGCCGTCAGTGTTGGTTCACTGCCGACATGTGAAGTGACCGTCCAGCACCATGTCCAGGGACAAATAATACAGGATAAGGACTCATTTCTACTAAGAAGTTTATTTTACAACAGTATTTACTGGTGAATCCTCTTCTATGGAACTAGGATTGGGACAATATTCAGAGTAACTTGTACCAAGTTTTGTAACTTCGAACATGTTTCATCACATGTAACTTTGGATTCGTAACTTGTAACTTTAGTTTTCTAACTTGTAATTCTCAGTTCGTACTTGTATTTCTTGTTTTGTAACAGGAACGTTGTATTTTGTACATGTATTTTTTATTTTGTAAAATCAAACTTTTATTTTGTACATTTACTCATTTTGTAACATCAAACATTCATTCAGAAACATGAAACTTTCGTTTTGTAACTAGCAGACTTCCAAATTGAAAATATCAAGGTACAAGTTTGAAATCAAAACTCTCAAAACACACATTTCATTCTACACGTACAAACCAAATCTACAGTGTTACAGATCTTTTTGTCTCGATTCTAGCGTCAGTGGGAGGAACTTGGGTGGAACAAGTCTTAGCGACCAAGACTCGTGCTCTTATTTACATTAGAGACGTGGGTTCTCCCGGGTACTCCGGCTTCCATGACTGTTAGGTTAATTGGTCTGTCTAAATTGTCCTTAGGTGTGTGTGTGTGTGTGTGTGTGTGTGTGTGTGTGTGTGTGTGTGTGTGTGTGTGTGTGTGATTGTTTGTCCTGTGTGCCTCTGTGTTGCCCTGCAATGGACTGGCTCTCTGTCCAGGGTGTACATCGCCTGATTGCCCATTGACCACTGGAGATACCCCCCCCCCCCCCCCCGCGACCCCACGTGGACAAAGCGGGTTCAGACAATGGATGGATGAATTGAATTGAAGGGTCATTCAGAAATGAGTCTAATTCTTAGGCTGAGATGAGTCCAGACTTGTTTTTAAGGAGAGGTTCAACAGTTTGAATCAGCATGTCTGTTTAAATGTGCATTATTTAATATAAATGTAATATGTAATATAAATGTAATATGTAATATAAATGTAATGATATCTGATTCATGATTTAGAACTATTTTTCACTTGTTTTCATTATTCTAGATGAAAAGCAGACCTGCTGCACACAGCTGGGTAAATAGGGCAGTTTCTTATATTTCCCACCAGGTAGGCACACCTTTGTTCTCCTGTACTCTGCTTTAACTGCGTCAGAGCCAGCAGGTATGACGTGTGATGCACGCATCTGGACTGACTTCCCAACAGCTGTCCAGGTGTTGGCAGGAGGAAGGTCGCGAGGGAAGTCCAGCCTCAGTAGAAACGATTCTACCTGCATCTCCACGTGTAGATGTGTAGGTCTGGTCACGTGGGCAGTTTTTTCTCTGGATTAAGTTGGACCGGTAGCCAGGGGGAGGGGCTAAGCGTGATTGGTGCCACGCGCACGCGGACTGTTTTAACGTATCTTTTACCGTCAGACTGGTTTTCTGATCTTTCTTCCTCCTCGTCGTTGTTGTTGTTGTTGTTGTTTACCTGCTGAAGATGGCCTGGCAGGGGCTCCAGAAGGGGGAGACGCTGGCGTCGCTGAAGCAGGAGAGCGAGAATCTGAGGAGGAAGCTGGAGGAGGAGCGGGGCAAGCTGACTGATGTGGAGCGTAAGTAGGTCCGGTGTACCCTAACCCAACAGCTGGTAGCCAGCCCTGGTTTAAGTTTAGAGATGGGAGCAAAGCTATTGATTACGTATGGCAGACCCTTGTATCGTATAATCACACCCCTTCTTTGTAATGTTTTAGATGGCAAAAACATTTATTCTTGTTTTGATACAACAACCTGAACTTCTTGTGGTGATGATATTCTTTGTCTTTTAAATTACCATAAAATATTTTATTGTGCGCGTGCGTGTGTGTGTGCGCGTCTGTGCATGTGCGTGTGCATGCGTGTGTGTGCATGTGCGCGTGTGTGTGTGTGCATGTGTGTGTGTGTGTGTGTGTGTGTTTGTATGTGTGTGCGTCTGTGTGTGTGTGTTTGTGTGTGTGTGTGTGTGTGTGTGTGTGTGTGTGTGTGTGTGTGTGTGTGTCCCTAGTGCATCAGGTTGCTGAGAAGGTCGAGACGGTGGCGGCTCTCTCCATTAAAACCAGACGTGTGCTGAAGGGTCATGGGAACAAGGTGCTGAGCATGGACTGGTGCAAAGACAAACGCCGTCTGGTCAGCTCCTCACAGGTACACACCTGGATGCATCACCTGATGAGGAGCACCTGATGGGTGTGTGCAGTTGGCTAGGGAGGTGTGGGGCATGTTTTAATGTGTTTGTGTGATCTAGGATGGGAAGGTGATCGTCTGGGATGCTTTCACTCTCAATAAGGTACGTTTAGCTGCTATTGCACTGAAAATGGGTCTGCTTCGTTTCCCTTGGAGCAGCTCAAATAAACATGTCTGCAGAGAGAAGTTAGAAGGACAGTGCTCCATTGGTGCTCTTTATGTTCGGTCAAGGTGAAGGCGATGGGACAAGCATGCCCTAGCCCTGCTCATCCAGGGAAGATGAAAGAGGAACTGTGTTCTGGTCTCCTGAGGCCGCAGAGGTTTCAGCTTTAGACGACTTCCATGCCAGCTGCAGTTAGGCAGACGGGCTTATGCTCTTCTAAGAGACGATTAGATGGAAATATGCGTTAAAGATCATCCATCCATCTGTCCCTTTTAATGCGTCTGGTGTTGTAGAAGTGTGCTAAATGCTGGAGGGAGCCAGGATTTGTCTGGTTTGTTAGCGAGGATGAAAGCTGTTTTCTGTCCTACAGGAACACGGGATCACCCTGCCGTGCACGTGGGTCATGGCTTGTGCTTACGCCCCGTCGGGTTGTGCCGTAGCGTGTGGGTAAGGAGTTACTCTCCTCAGTAAAGTTGAGCTCTTCTTCAAGAGGAACATCAATAACCTTTCAAAGCTCCAACATCAGTGATTAAAATAGATTCATAATTATTCACAAATGTTGCTGGACTCCAGCCTGTAGCTACATCGTAGCTCATCACCTGGCACCGGTGACCGTGTTTAATACAGAACATTGTGCTTTCTTCTCAGAGGGTTGGACAACAAGTGCTCGGTGGTGCCGCTGTCTCTAGACAGAAACGAGAATGTTACCGCTAAAAAGAAGTCCGTAGCCATGCACACCAACTACGTATCAGGATGCAGCTTCACCAACTCCGACATGCAGGTGAGGGGTTCGTTGTCTGTGCATCTGTGAGAGTCCTGCAGGGTCATCAGGCACAAGAAAAGAGCCAAACAGGTCAAAAGTCTCACAAACCGCTAGACTGATGTAATAAAACACGGTCATGTATGTGAAGCTAAATGACGTTTGCTAACAAAAATGTTTCTAACCTGATTAATTTACCAGATCAACATGTTTTAGGAGCTAACCCTACCCTAATCCCAGAAGAGCCCACACACGGATTTACAGCAGTGATGTCACGCTCTCTTACATATATAATAAATACCATAATAGTAGGGAGCCTACGTGGCTTCCGGACCGCGGGTCGCCGGAACGACAAACCGAATAAGAGTCAACGGGGCTAAAACGCTGTTTTCTAACTCCGCTTGGTATGCGCCATGGATTTCACACAAGACGTCCGCGAGTTTTAAAGATGCGTCTTGATACCAAGAAAGTGCTTATTTTGCCACCGGGGGGGGGGAGACACACAATATTTTAGGTGTTGTGTGAAAATGAGTCCAGGACTACAAACGCGCTTCACCACAGTGACGTCATCGAACCAGACACGGAGGAAACGGAGGGAAAATGGCTGTAAGTTCAGCAAACTTCCCACAGGAGGACAGAACCACCATGAATCTGGTCATGTGGTGAGTAGCAGCTACACTAGGGGGAGGAGCTTATGTGGTGATGTCACATATGAGACGTGCCGATTTCTGGTGTGTAGTCATGCTAATTACGAACTTTTACAAGCTGATAAATCTCAAAGTACATGACTGGCGTGGTCGAAACACCATCATTACTTTTATTTACATCACAGTACAGCATGTGTGTGATCCAGGGCGTGAGGCAGAGCGGGTTGACCTGCTTTCATGTATTCGTTCTTCCAGGGGCCCGTGATGCAGAAGTGACTTAGGCTCCCTATGATGTACAAATCCATTCTGCACACCACCTGTTATGTGTCAGATAAAACTTTATTTACAGAAAAACTCCTAGAGCTTCAGGTTTGTCTGCTCTCCGCTCCAGGATTACATCCCAGCATTAAAACATGCCAGTAGAAAAGTGAATAAATATTAGTTTTGTCCTTTCTGTTACACGTTTCAGAGGTTGTTTGTTCTGATGCCCCTCCGGGAGTTTGAGTTTTACACTCATAAAAAGGTCTGACTTGTTGTTGCATCTACTTTACGCCTCAATGTCAGGAGGAGAGGAGAGGAGGTGTTGGCGTCCGTCCTGCTACAGTATTTTTAGACTCTGAGTGGTTTTTATCAGGAGAGTGGAGGACACCAACCCTCAGGGTTAAAGTGCGTGAAGGACTAAACATAGACATGATTGTTGATAGGGAGCACGTTCTTCTGCATTAATAACTTTATTTAAATAGTGCCGAACAAAGCTGCGGTGGAGTGCTGTGCATCAGAGCAGAGAAGACCGTTAGTGTTTGTTTAAAAATGAAGCTGTCTGGACTTCTGGGTCGAGGCGGAACCGAGATGTACGCATTGTGAGGAGCTCAGCGTGGTTGGTAGCACCTCCAGGAGATATGAAAAGCTTTTGAAATGGATGTAAACTAGTTTTACATCCATGGCTCGGATTATACAAAGGGGCGGGGCATTGTAAAAGGCCTGATTGGTTGCCCAAGTCCCTTTACATCAGAGCTGCGCTAACAGAGCTGGGGCTGAAACAGCGGTGGCACGTACGTTTAGGAAGCCCTCGAGATGGTGGTGTTACAAAATTGTGTTTATTTGAGCAATTATATAATTTAATGGCTATCGGTTGATGGGTGTAGTTACTGAACTCAGTTCTGAAGAATTAGCTATAAAGCTAATGACCGTAAAAGCTCCACAACGCAAACCATGAAACGATGTGGCCAGCAGCTGCGCGCTAAGCCCTAGCGAACATCAAAGAGACCTGGGAGGAGACAAAGCAAGATGTTCTTGTTCTGATGCGGACAAGGTTTGATGCCATTGTGACCTTTATCTTAGAAGTGAATAATGTATGAAGTTTCGTAGGGGGCGCTGTGACCGATTATATTAATATATAATCATTGAGGTCATCTTAGGTTGACAAAGTTGGTTTTGTATTAGTTTGGTGTCAGTCAAAATTAGCGTGTGTTATGTAGAGCCAGAGTGCTGAAAGGGGGCGGAGCTACAGGGATTTGAACCAACAACCACATCAATGTGTTTGGTGCAGTCATGTGACACAAGCCAAGTTTAATGCCATTCTGACCTTGTATGAGGAAGTTAGGGTTAGGGAATAGATGAAGGCACTTATCTCCATTGGCCGACTTGTGAGCTCTCCCTGATCGCAGCGATCTGTTGGCGACGAAGGCGTGGAACCTTTAGTCTTCATGTAATTTTATTTCATTTTGTTTGCTGTTGTCTATACCGGACGAACACTCTTGCTCTTCAGACAACCGTTTATGTGTAGCGGTAATAAACTCACAAACACCCATCATTTTAGCGTGATACTATGTGTAGCAACCCAACTCCAGAAAGCAACCCAATAAACTACCATGCAGCCTCTGTAGCTCTTCAGACACAAACACCTTTTAAAGTCATCTTTAATACACATATTGTCATTTTTAACACATTAACTTTTGGTTTTAACTTCATTAACTTGTTTAACTTAGCTTTCCTTTCACTTTCTAAACTACTCATGTTGATCAACAATGCCTTTCTGTTCATTTCACCTTTCGTTTTCCAGTTACCTGGACCTCCCCACCCACAGTACCGTCCCTTTGACCACATCAATCTCCGTCTGATCGTTCATCTTCTGCCATGCTGGCAAGAACCTCAGTTGTTCATTATAAAATGTATTTGAAGCGTCAAAGTTCAGAGTTTGTTTTCTCTTTTTTGTTTCAGCAGTCAGACGCTGTTACCAGTGCAACGGATTTAAGAAAACCATTGTGTGCACACACATGAATATTGGCCATTTATAATATCAGCGCTGAACACCTTACCCCAATGGCACGTTGGCCGGCTTTGATCGGTGTCAAGCTGTCATCTGGAATTCCAGTAGCTCAGTCCGATGCGACGTTCCAGATGGATCTAAAGTACTTCGTTAGCTTCTTTTGCGTTCCCCCAGTGGCACCACTCAGCTCCGGTTCTGATGCACGTCACAGCTGCATCAACTTCATGTTTTCTTCTTATTGCCACGCAGCAACCAAGTCCACCCCTCAGTCGTTTAGCGAGTCAGTTTTCTACCTAAACTGTAGCGTCTAACCCATTCGAGGCTACAGGTGGCTCATGTAGCGGTTAATCTACATAACAAGAATTTAACGCTGTTGGTACTTCAGCTTTGTTAAGCCCTGAGAAAGATCAAACGCATCAGCAATGAAACTTATATCATATATACATATCCACGGATATTTATATAATCGATAGAAGTTCATACACCAACTGGCTTGGTCTATATTTAATCAAAAGTTTAATATTTAATTTGAGAGATTTAAATTAATAGCAAAAGTTTATTTATTAATTCAGAAGATCTAAAGAGATCTTTGCTTGTTCAGTGACCAAATATACACCACTCTGTGTTTTATTCAAAGAAGAGTCACCTTTAAAAAGTTAAGAATTTATTACTAACAATTCATAAATGACAATTTATAAAAGCTTTGATCTTAAAAACTTGGTATTAAAGCCACCTGTGTCTGGATGGAACTAAACATGAAGTGTGTGTGTGGACGTGTGAATGTAGTCTCAGAAGGTTTTTATCTTAGAGAGAGAAAAACGAGTTCTGGGTGAAAGAGTTTGGTTTGCAGCTAAGCTAAATTATTTTTAATAAACAAGCATCCAGACGCAACCATGTGTTCTACCTCACCGTTCAGACGACCCTCTGTTTGGATCCGGAGGTCAAGGGAGGATGCTGGTCAGCCTCTGGGTACTCGGTCCGGTAGAGGAGACCAGTGGTCCTAGAGTTGCCGCAGGCACACAGGTGGATGGTTTTGCGTCTGAGCAGATTCTGAAGGAATCTCGTAGCGTCAGCTTGTTGCAGGTGGCGTTTCTGTTGAAGCAATTCCATCGGCGTGACAGAAAAGCTTTAGTAGAGGTTTCGAACGGCCGACTCGATCCTCTGGACTCTCGTGCCACGGAGAGAATTTGGTGAGCTCAAGAACTGAACTTGAACTGAGGAGTTAGGTTTTAAGAGACGGCCGGTAATCTTATTCTAACGAATTAGATTTTGTCATGTAAGAGGGTGGGACTTAGCATACCTCAGAACACGCCCTCCCAGAGACAGAAAGCTCTGGTGTTATGGAACAAAGACATGTGAGTGCAGTTACCTTTAACCTGATTACTGTGTCCTGCATGGTGTGTATAAGTGCACATGATCTTCTTGTCACTGTTAAACATGACTGGTTATCATAAATAATAATTATTATTAACCAAACAATAATAATTAATTTCAGTAATTAAATACATTTATAATAAACCATGATGATTATGTATGACCGTTGTAATAGGACAGTGAAAAGAGTTTATTAAAATGATTCTTTTAAATCTTGAAGTGTCCTTCGTCTTGCGGATGGAACAGCAGTCAGATAAAAGAAGGTTTACAGCAGACTTCGCGTCTCCTGTGATGGATAATCTGTAGATAGAAGTGCAGCCAGGACCGCTCGACCCAGCTGAAGAAGTGTGACCTTTGGGTCACAAATGAGGCCATTCATGTCGCTACACTCATGATCAGTTTTGTTTTTTACACGCGCTCAATAAAGTTTCGACGTGTCAACCTTGGATTCCAAAAGTCCTTTTATTATCATCATCGTTCTTTCTTCTGATTTGGTATATTTCCACTCATTTTAAAGACAACACGTAACTCCAGTCAAACACCGTAGAACACGGTTTGACTCCCCTCATCAGCAACACCTGACCTGAATCACAACTGCCCTTATATAGTACCCTAGTGACAATTAAACGAAAAACAAAAAACTAAAACAAGCATGACTCCTACAAAAAGTATGTGTATATACACGAAGGCAGTAAGCTAGTATTGTAACTTTCAATCACTAAAAAACACAAATACAAAATGAAAACCGGGTTCCAGAACTATGCAGCATACTGTAAGGGACACAGACATACTATGTAAATCTGGTATCGAACAGATACTGAGTACTGCATTGGTGGTATTGTGTACCAGGATAATGCCAGTACCAGTTAAACCGAGGACTCTTACTGCAGAGGGGATGAATGACCTACGGTAGGTTCTGTTATCTGGGATGTCTCAGTCTGCCTCTGAAGGAGCTGTCCATGGTCTCCACAGTGGAACCAGTGGGTGGGAGGTTTTGGAGTGCAGTGAACTCAATGTCATATTCAAGGAATAAGTTTGAGATGATTCGAGCTTTATAATATGGCACATGTTCCTGCTGGAAGTAGTCAGAAGATGAGTCCATGTGGACATGAAGGGATGGACATGGTCAGCAGCAATACTCAGGTAGGCTGTGGCAGGGGCGCAGATAGGATTTTCAAACTGGGGGGGGACAAAGTTCCAATGTACCCTCCCCCAAACACGCGCGCGCGCACACACACACACACACACACACACACACACACACACACACACACACACACACACACACACACGTACACACACACACACACAAACACGTACACACACGAACACACACACACACACGTACACACACACACACACACACACACACACATACACACACGAACACACACACACACACGAACACACACACACACACACACACACACGTACACACACGAACACACACACACACACATACACACACACACACACACACACACACACACACACACAAACACGTACACACACGAACACACACACACACACGTACACACACACACACACACACACACATACACACACGAACACACACACACACACGTACACACACACGAACACACACACACACACGTACACACACACGAACACACACACACACACGTACACACACACACACGAACACACACACACACACGTACACA